CCTCCAGCAAATACTAATGTCCTACAAACAGGAAATTAATATGACCAACCATTCCCATTTTATTTATGTGTATCCATATAAATGGCCCACTGTAGAATGAATGAAAAAATATTTTTCCCAAACAAGATGCCCAGGTTAAAACTTAAAAGTTGTTGTCTATTTAGAAAGAAGATGTTAAGATCTGAGACTAAGATTATTTTTAGTAACTATTTTTTATATTTTTATTTTTTGGAGGGGCGGGGGCTGGGAAGAGGTTTGGAGAGGCCATGGAAAAAGACTTCTGTACGGCTTCGAGGCGGTTCTGGTCCACCATCCGGCGTCTCGGGGGTGGGGGTGGGGGAGCAGTTCATCACCAATAATGTTTATGGTGGGGATGGTGCGCTGTTGACCTCAACTCGTGACGYTGTGGATCGGTGGGTGGAATACTTCGAAGACCTCCTCAGTCCTACCGACAAGTCTTCCCATGAGGAAGCAAAGCCTGAGGACCCTGGGTGGGACTCTCCAAACTCTGGTACCAGGTCACTGAGGTGGTTAAAAAGCTCCTCTGTGACAATGATAGTCAGAAACCTACTTTTAAACCTTAATGTACTTTTTCTTAATTTATGTAATATTTCATTGCAGGAAGTTCTGACATTGGCCCTCAGAATAAACCACATCTGTTCCTCAGTTACCCACACTGCAGACAAGCTTTAGATCTTGGGAAAGGCAAAACTTATCTCATCATGGGACCATCTAGAGACATTTACGCTGATGAACAGAGTCGCTCGTAAGTTTATTGTGTTTTAACCTGAGGGGTTTGGTGATCTCACAACATGGATCACATTATAACAATTTGTCTGTTTCCCTGTTTTCTGTATTTACACCAGGTATGAGTACTCACTTGGTGAGAACCCCTGGTGGAGTACTGGCCCACAGCAGCAGAGTGTAAAACTGAAAAATACAGTTGCCTGTTTGTGAGGGCTTGGATGAAAGGGTCCAGCAGTAAACTCTCCATGGATGTCCTCATTAGTGAAATGTCAATAAGAAAATTTTCATTTAAATTCCAACGAACACGATATTTTCACTCGTATTAGCAAAAACACAGCAAAGATTTGAGTAGAAAAATAGTAATTGTGTCATATCAAATAAACTGAGTTAAAGGCACAGTTTGTAGGATTTTGTCAATTCTTTTAGCCGAAATTGAGATAATCACTAATGACAATAATAAAAAACATGTCTAATCATTGCAGACAAAGACCTTGTTTTATTATTTTTACCTTATAAAAAGCTGTTTATATCTCCATGGTCGCGGGTCACCACTACGGCTGTGTATTGGCAAGAATTTGGCGATACGATACATATCATGACAGAGGGGTCACGATACGATAT